TAAACCTAGCCCCTAACCCACCAACGGGACTTCTTCTTATGGGGCCCGGGCTTTGGGCCCCATAAGGAGCAGTTGGTTCTCACAATGTAGTATAAGTTGGAAAAATGGGCCTCACAAAGTAGCATAAACAAGGACACACACACACACACACACACACAAACTGATTATCAGTATCATTTGAGGGAACTGGCCAACAATGGTCACTTTTGGCTCCTCCATCGCACCTGGTTGTGGATAAAATTGCTCTCTCTCCAGGATCTGTCCCTCTGCGCCATCTTGGACAAAAGCAAAAACTTATACACAATGTAAAGGGCCCTACATACTCCATCTGATGCGGCAAAATCAGTTCTCTCTCTGACGTAGTTGCATCACGAAAATCACACCATATTGTTCTCAGAGTAGCTTCACCCGCACCTTCTCGACTCAAGGCTCGGGTCATAGGTGTGGGCTCCTGTGACATCTGCCTGTGCCTGCAGACACTGAATGGAGGAGTCTGTCTGCTGGGAATTGTGGTGCTTTCTTTATGATAGATTTGTGGCCAAATGGCGGATGCAGGGACGAGTAGAGACTCTGGTGGTAAGAAACCCGCGTGGTGACATTTACTGCAGCGGAGGGGTTTCCCAGGAACTCTGTGCAGTGTGTCTCATGAACTATGAAAGGTGTGTTTGAAAACACACGTCTCGTATCCACGTGACCTCAAGTCAACTGTTCGGCTTTGGATACATTATGATGGGTCCTTATCCCGTAACACACATGAATATCTTGCACCAAAACATTAAGGTTTTTGCATTCCTCGTTCAATTCCAGTCCAGAAAGACATCCTAAAAACTAAAGCCATTCACTGTTCAAATCCTTCAGCGACGGAGGTACTGGCTTACTACTTGTTTAATGTTCAAGTACTTTTCACACAAAAGTTCATAACTTTTATTCATATACCACAAAACCATATTTGCACAGTACAAAATAACTGATAAACATTCTTTCTCCGAAGGTGGGGGCCAACAAAAATGTGTGAGAACCATGGTTCTAGAGCAAAGCTGCATCCTGATCTTATTCTAGAGAGCGGTGGCAGGTCCTGGAACAAGGTTGTTGGCATACCTTGCAGGAAAGTTGTAGGCAGGTGCTGCTGAAATATGGAAGAAGCAGGAGAGCATGTAGGAGATGTGAAAAATAGAGAAGAAAACATATCTGCTGCACATTAAGAGCATAGTCACGATTGCCTTCACCTTGAATTATATATATATACATATATTTAAATTGACAACCATTCAGCCAAGTTCATATAAGTCATGTAGGTAGTCAAGAGCGTAGCAGGGTCATAAGCGGACTTATTTTGGACTTTAAGCACAAGAAGCTGATTACATCATGGTGTAGGGATTGTTTGGGTGGCAGCGCTGAAAGCTGACATCAGAGCTGAGGCACATAGCATCATGTGCCTCCCTCACAGGAATAGCACTGCTTAGAGACCGTGCTGAATCTGAGGAGTTTGAAGAAGCCAGAGGATATTTGAACGCGGCGGACATGATTGAGAATGCTGCTGACAGCATGTGAAGGTGACAGACGAGTGTTGTCGGCCTTACTGAACATATTTAACCACTCACGGTCCAATTAACCCAAATCTCTTGCAAACACTGCTTTTGAAATTATTTTGAATGTTTTGAACCTTCCTTCAGTAAGTCGAGTTCTCTTTGACTCGTGGTTTCTCACTCCAGTCTAAAAGTCAAAATAACAAAATCTATTTTTGTTATGTTCACATGTGAGGGCGTGATATTCACATTTATTTGCTCTGTGTCTTTAAACCTTTAGATTTGAGACACCAGTTGAATGTTAGTGTTTTAATTTGCCAAAATAAAGAGAACTATGAGATTTTGTAAGATTGTACAGGACTTAGCCGCATAAATGTTTTATGTCAGAAGTAGCATTCTGCTTGGTACGATCAGGGCACCATGATGGGAAGAGACGTCTAATTCCATATATAGATCTGAGCAGCACAGCCCTGGGAAGGAAATTCAGCTTCCTGTGCTGAATGCAGAATACTTTGCTGAGTGTCTCTGTCCTGTTGGCTGTCCACACTACCCACCCAAGCTTGGCCTTCCTTCCGTCTCCACAACCTCAAAAAGTGGGAGACACAGTTGCCCCCATTATGCTTTGTTTCCTGTTGTGTGACGATATGATGAGGGTCAAGGAGTTCCCGTCTCCTCTCTGTCTCGGAC